TTTCTTTAATATTTTATAAAATAATGAATTTTGTAATAACAATTGTACAATCATTATTCCTCATTAGTTTTAAATAAATTACCCATTCATCAAGCTTATTCTATCCTCAAAAATGTCATTTTAATTCCTCAAATTTAATATTGTTTAAAAATCTCAGGCTCTGTCGTTTATTTCAAAAGAATATAAACAAAATTTTAAGAATGATGCAAGAGTTACTAAATATTAAGGTTTCGGGCAACATCTGCGCTAACTATTGTCCTAGTTTGAGTTTCTTTTATACCCTACAAAATCTATAAAACACATTATTTCCCAAATCATTTCAATTGATAATGATATTTTGATAAACGAAGCCTTAAATTTTTGGAACATCAATACCAAATACACAACAACCAGATTCAATAAAGCAAAAAGACTGGGATCTAGGATTGATATCTAGCTTCGCTTTCCTCAACTGAGCGATAATATTAATACAAATCATAATTGCTTTGATTTGCCCAATAAACAATTTTAGATGACGGGGCAGAGTTTAATACAAAAAAATACAAATATCAATTTATTAAGAAATCTTTAAAAACAATTTATATATTGGTTGAACATAAATATATGTTAAAATTTTCACATTTAGTTAATTAGTAGGGATGTAAATTTCCCGGGAAACTATAATTAAGGGAAATTTCCCTGTAAATAACGGGGAAAAACGGAAAATTTTCATTAAAAAATTATTATACAGTTCAATATTGATTTTTTTTTATGTTATATGAAAAATAGATTTATGCTATTAAAGTATGATGTAATTTAAATTATTTAATTTATTATCCGTTTGAAACGATTCAAGATCTCTAAAATCGAGCAATTTGTCATTTTCCCCGCAACATCAAAATCTAGGTATCCAGAAATCGATACATCTAATCCTTGTCATTTCAATTAAATCTAACAATAATTTGAGTTAGTTTAAGAGTTCCTGGCAACAAAAAAAAATTCATATTTTATATAAATTGTGATCTCTATAATTTCGTTCCGTAGGAATATAAATAAATATTTAAGGAACGTCAGATAAGTTTGATTTGTCCGCTTCGACTTCCTCTATTTGTGTAAAAATAACTTATAATAATTGTATAGATGTGCAAGATTATTTAAAAAAAATTCATTATCAAGAAGATTTAATCTCTTATCTCTATAAATATCCTAATTTTTTAACAGACTTTAGTTATCATTGTCCAAAGAGATGGGGGGGGGGCTAGACAACTTTAAGGAAATAATCCTATCTTTCACTTTAAGTGGTTGTTTTTCCTTAAATGTTAAAATAATTTTGAATTTTACATATTTATAAAAATTTGGGCTTTTGCCATTAAAATTTAAATTGGCAAATATTTTATTTGCTAGAACCTTTAAAGGCAAACTAATTCCATGAAGTGCAGACCTAATGTATTCGAAAATTGGATATTCTTGTCCAGGCTTTCTTAATTTTGCATTATTTATTGTAATGTTCATTTTTGTGTTTCCTAATTCTACTATTATTAATAAATTTACTAGATATATATATATATTCTCCCATATTCATGGTCCCTGTTTCAATTGATTTATAGAAAATGGGAATTCGAATTGCAAAATTTATAATATATTCCAACTTATATTTATTCAAATAAGGGTCAAATTTTATTTTTATCTTATCTTTCGGTTACTACATTTTCAATCCTTACATATTCACTGTTTAACAAATTTTTACTGAGTAAATATCTCGTGAGCATTTTAAATGCTGTTTTTTAGATTGAAATAATTTCATTTACTTTGCATTATAGAAAATGAACAATTTAACATTTAATTGGTGTTGCGAAATTATCAATATATTTATTTCATAAAATTATTTTTTTAGAGATTTTTATTATTATTAGTTGGAATAAAATTAGAAGAGGAAGTTGGCCTTATCCTATAACTCTTAAACCTTTGATCCTACTCCTTATCCTTACATGTTCGCATATTTTTAACTAGCTTGGGCATATATCGTTATTACGACAAAATTCAGCTCGTTTCTCCTTTGCCTATTTTTTTTTTCAAGTATTCCGGTGAAAAATAGAAGGTATAACAATTTCTTTAAACAAGATAGTATTTATCGGTATCTTTAACACAATTATTAAATTTCAAAATCCATCATTTGATAGGCTTTGTTCCAAAGTGATAATATTAATGCATTGTTTTGACAATGCTTTAAAAAAAATCCAGGTCTTTGGATTCAAATATACCGATTGTGTCGGAAACAATGTGTCTGATATTAGGAATGTTACTATATTTATTAATTTCCACACTTGAATTGGAGTTAAAAGGATGAGCGAATTAACACGTTTATAGCTAGAAGAATTTTGTTAATAAATGGAATAAGTGTCATTCAATCCAGCTTAATATCGCGATCGAAATTGTTTGGTGGTATGAATCTCCCCTTTTGAGAAACGGTACTGTAGACTATCAAAAGCTTAGCCAGAGACTTGGGTAGGGCATTGTACTATTTTATCGGAGTCGAAGCCCGATAATTACATGTTAGAAATATGCTCAATAATCATTTTAATCAGAATAACATATTAATTTTAATCTTACACATATCATCCATTCATTTACGTAATTTCTATATTTAAAATTAACGATTTCCTAAAGTTACATTTTGTGAATAGTTAAAACTCTGTTAATAGCATTATAATGAAGAAAGAAGGACTAGTTTGATCCCTGATAAAAGTTCTTTGTTGGACTAAAACAAAGATGGAGCTTTGTAAGTCTATGGCATAAGTAGTAACTGGATTAAAGATAGAGGCAAATTATAGAATGAGTTTAATTGTTAGAATCAATTCATATTCTAACAAAACTAGTAATTTAATTTATTATTCTGTGACAAGGTTGCCAGGTCTACCATATTGACTATCAGACTACAACAATTTCTTTTTAGAAAAGTCGAAATCTATCACATACAACTAATTTATAGTGTTGTTAAACTGCTAGTTTTGAGTCGATTTTAGAAACGGCTAACTCAATATTTTATCCAGAACTGTATTTACATAAGCCTGAAAATTTTTCCCATATATGGTACAAAAAATTTTAGGACCTGGACAATATTTTTGTGGCTAAAATATTGAGCTAGCCGTTTTTAAAAATCGACTCAAAACGAGCCGTTTAACGACACTACTAATTTACCAGATTTTTATAATTCTCAAATACACCATAAAAACTCACACATTTTAAATTGTTTTCAAAAATCATGTTTTTGATATAAAAGTATCATATAAAAGAGAAATTTCAATAAAGAAATTCAATTCCTTCTTTCTATTGGAATCCTCTACTTAAATTTAATTTGATAACTAATAAAAGTATAGGATTTTATATAATAACGGCCACACCATATTAACTAATTTGTATAAAATATATAAACATTATCTTTTGAAAAACCCTTTTTTTAATAAATAATTGAAGAATAAATGCATAAATTTTTCAGCCTTGGATTAGTTTCCATTCTAACTCGGCCGGAGAATTTTTTTTTACGAAAATCAACCATAATAAAAATATATTTACCTGGCAACCCTTATCTGTGAAAAATTTTTCCCCCATTTTTTACCTTTAATTGGTTGAATAAGTTTGTAAAATAAAATATATAATTTCTATTTACTAATAAAAATGATAACGATTATTTATTTACCAATAAAAACATGATTATTATGAATGATTGATTGATTTACTCTTAATATTTTGTTTTTATATATCACATTTTTTTTTACGCCGATTAAAAAAAAAGTTTTTTTTTAATCTATCCATGCGTGTAAATACAAATAACTCTATCTTTAATGTTATATATTGTAAAAATAAATAAAATATGACTAGGCATAAATATTTTTTTAGGCCTTACATTACTTATTTACGATTACTGTCATACTTTACAATAATTATCAATATTTAAAATAAATTATAATAATGTATAAAATTAAAATATATTGTTATATATAAGAAAATAGGTAGAGTATAGGTGGTACTCCTCCCAGTCTCACCCCCTCCTTTCCTCCACATCTTTTTATCAAAAAATAATGATAGGAAGGAATTTATTATTTTTAACTACAAATAAAAACATTTATAAAAATATGTATAAAATGTAAAATTAAAAAACTAAAAACCGATCGTAAAAAGGCAATAAAACTTTTATAGACACAAAAAAAAATTTCAAAAATAAAAAGGTTATAAAATTATATTTAATATTATAAATTATTATAATACTAAAAGGATATTTTTTTTGGTAAAAATTCGGCATTTTTTTAGAGAAAAAAAAACTAATAAAAGAAATATACAACGAAAATGTAAGTAAAAAAATATATTTAAAAAAAAATCCTTAGAAATAAACAATTAAACAAATATGCAATAAATTTTTTTTGGGGACAAAATATTTATCTCTTATCTCCAAAATATATTCATAAAGTAAAAAAAAATCTTAGTAATTAAATACCTCCAAATTAATAAAAATAAAATACATAATAAAAAAAATCTACTCAAAAAATGATTTTATAGATGTAATTAAGTTTGAGACCAAATTTATCGTTTTTCCTTTCTAATGTTTTGAATATTATTACCTAACTAACTCATAACTTTACAACTTTTCTTCCTTCTTTCTACATATACATATACTTATAAATAAATATTCAAAAGCGTTTCATAATATATCAAAAATCGATTTTTTGTTTGGTGATAACATAGCAGTCCCGCGCTAGATATTAGACATTATAAATTTTATTTTATTTATTTTATATTTAATATAAATATAAAATTAAAAATGTTATAAAGAGATAATTATATTAAAAAAATTATAAAACTTCTATTTTGGAAATTAAATTGATATTTTTACAAACATTTAAAATAATACAAAAAATATGAAATTCAAAATTATATTCCAATCGGCGATCATTAAATTTCTATTTTTTAATACTAAAATCTTAAAAATAAAATAACGAATCTGATCTTATTATTTTTTGTCGAAAATGATGTTTCATACATTCCATTTAATATTCTTGGTGCTACCGCCTCCCAATACTATCACATTAGCCAAATTTATGAGTCTCTTAGATAATACAAACAATTCTCAACAATTACCAGCAAAAATGATCAACTCCAGCAGTTTTGCGGGAGAAAAATATTTAACAATGAACCTCCCTTTAAACATAAAACCGAACGGAGCTCACATGAAGATCACTTTACATTACAATGATCCAAATTATTTTAAACGCTATCATCAAATATATTCCGAAGGAGATGTCCTATTCGGAAAATACAAAACGGGCGTTTTTACTATCCTCGGAGAGTATTCCATCGCTGGAACGTGGACCAATGCCGAAGGAGATATTTATGAAGTAATGTCTTAACTTATTTTATTTGGCAATTGCTGATATATAATCATTAACTTTATAATAGAATCCTAGCATTTTACATTTCCTTAATTAGATGACACTTATGATAGATGACACTTATGACTAAAAAATATAAAATGATTCAATTATAAAAGGAATAATTATGCTGACAAAGAGGACACTCCCTCCTCAGATTATAATGACGTAATTGATGCATAATAACATGGGATGGGCCCATTCACTAGCATGTGTGGTGGGGTGGGGGCGCTGAGTAGAAAGCCTGAGTCTTTGGAAAATTAACTATTTAACTCAATTTTATTATGAAGATATAAATGTACCAGCTGACTGCCAATGGATTTCAGAATTTAAATCTTGGTATGAAAGATTAATTTTAGTATATTCTCCAGAAACACTACTGTATAATATATTTGTATTATTTCCAAATATATCAAAATTATTGTATATTTTGGCAACAATACCAATTAGTACAAAAAATAAATGAGAGGACCTTTTCTTCATTACGGAGAATAAAGACCTATCTCAGAAGTTAATCAGAAAATCTATTGATTGGACTAGCATAATTTAATATTATATTTTATTGTGATTTGCATATCGGTTTATATCAGAGACCTTAATGGGGCGGGTATGGGCCTAATATTAGCGAGTCTGGGCTAGACCTGGAATTTTGGAATTATTTTTAATAGGCTTGGGACTAAAAAAAATTTGATTTAAATATTCCTAAAAAATATTGCAATTTTTTTTCTTCTAATAATAATAAATTTTAGTATTGTAAATAAAATGATTGGCTGATGAATACACTATATTGTTTATTTTCATTAAATACAATAAATTAAATTTTTGGATATTAGCTTGGGCCGGGCATAATTTTTTAATATATTAAATAGAGGCCGGGCCTGGGCCGGAATTTTCTTTTTAACTGCTGACTTGGGCCAGGCTTAATCAAAAAATTAACTCATGAAGGTCTCTGATTTATATCTCTATAATATTTTTTAACAATATTATATTTGCTCTTAAATATTTTATATTTTCCAAAAATTTACTATCTGTTTTCAAAATTGTCATTTAATATGATTGATTCTAATAAATTTTATAAGATGATTAGTTCAAATTTTTAATTCTCCACATAAATCATTTCTATATAAAAAAATATCCCCCCCCCCCTCCGAAAATTCCTAGCTACGCGCCTGTAAAAGTTAAATCGTTGTAAAATAAATATGGCAACTCCTACTTACACGAAGGGTCATGAATATGAGGAGAACATTTAATGGACCCATCCTTCCTAATAGAATTTTACCTTCCCCTATGGGACTGCTTATATGAGGCTTTCTCGATAAAAAAATAATCTTAGTCAAAATTACAAAAAAGTTTTGAGATATTTTATTTAAAAAAATGGACTAGCAAGGCTCCAATATAGATTTACAATACCCAGGAGTGCAATATTTAAGGGACTGTATTGTTCATATCCACTTTGATGAATAAAATTAATGATATAATTTCACAGAGCTAGGCAGATAAATTAAATTATTATATTTTTTTATTGATTATGTAACTAGAATAGGATTCTTAAAAAATATATTAATTTAAATTTATGCATTATAGATACATCCATTAGGACTATGTCATAAAAGAGTTGGCAACAATTTATACAATTATCCGTGGATAGCTTACGTTAAACTCTCCCGACCTGACGATCTCATCCAAGAATGCGTGTCAATATATAATAAGGTAACTTTGAATATTCAATGTATATCAGAGACCTGCTAGCCCGGAACAAAAATTCGGGTTGAAATTATTTTTAAATATAAAATTCGGACTCATTCGGTCGAGTATTTTTTTTTAAAAAATAAATCAAACCTTCTCCACAATTTTCAGTAAAAATGGATGCTGTCCCCGGGCGGACTTTAATTATAATTGAAACTTATCAATCCCCTTAGAATTAGTACAACAGAGCGGGATATTTTTTGCAAGAACGGAAACGAAACAGAACCCCCAATCCGGGTTTCTAATTATAATTAATTTTGATGGTTAGGCAGATTGATTATACTCTAATCTAGATTCTCTATATAGGCCAGTCCCTTGGCTATCTGCTGTGAAACCGCTTCTTACAAATATAAAAAAATATGTCTACGTTATTTATTAAAATTCAATAATAATATAATTGTTTTTAAAAAATTACGTTATACTTACTTGTTTCTTGCAAAGTTTTGGGCAATTTCTTCTAAATGGGTATGATTAGACAGATACGATTTTAGGGTTACTTGAAATAAAAAAAAAAGTATACTTTTATTTAATAAAATTTAATTGTTGTTTAGCAGGTTACTCTATGGGTCCAGAGTTGTCTTATATTTTTGTTTAAAAACAAATTTCTAATGACTCATTTAAACAGTTGTTTTTAGAATATGGCCAAGTGACGAAGTGTAAATGAGTGTGCTATATATAATTCTAATTTGTAAAAATTATTCATAAATAATGTGGATTTTACAAATATTTTAAAAGCTACTTTTTAAAAAAATAGTAAATATTTTTATCAAAATATTGAAATCATTTAATTTTTCAACAAATTATCCCTTTAATTTTTATTGTACATTTTTAGAAACTACTATAGTTTTTAACAATATTATATTGTTCAATGCATTATTATACATTTTAGAGGAACAATTTTCATAAATAGAGTATGGACTCTGAATTTAGAACCCGGGTCAAATCTATGGACCAGATTAAAACTGTTTAATAGTCAAGATAGAAACTATGGATTACCTTTACTCCGACTAGAGACCAATGATATTCATTTATTTATTTGGAATTCAATTTTAGGAAGAAAAAAAATTATCGATGTTAAGAATAAAATTTTTAAAAAGCCTTTTAATGATCCTATAGAAAATATATAATGACAAGTTATATCCATAATTAAATTAAGGAACAAGTTAAAGATAAATATCAAAAAGATTTAGTGAGTATATACTAGAAATAAAGAAACGATAAAAAAAAGGCGAAATAAATTTAAACATATTATAAGTCATAGAAGAAGCATGTCGTCTATCATTTAATTAAATTATATATAATAATATAAAGAAGGGATAAACTTTAAAAATAACATTAAAAGGAATAAATGATTGGAATAAAAATCCGTAGATACATACAACTTATTACATATTTTGTAGTTCATGTTTTAGATCAATATTTGTAGTCGTTCTGGCCTGGCTACAAGATGTCAATTTTTATCTTCATATTTTTCTAAAAAAAAATTATACACTCGCATTTGTTCATTATAATTCTTCTTAAAATAATCTCAGTCAAGTAATAATTTTCACATTTTGCTAAACTCTAATAACCCATTGTACCTACGTTAAACATAAAATAAAATCTAAAGGATCCTCAAAGGCCACTCCCTTTACATAAATCATGGCAGTCCATTGTGCATGCATTGTTTAAACATTTTCCCTAAAGGCGGAATAAAAAAATAGCGGCAAAGTTAATTCAACAGCTTAATTTTTTTCTCTTCTTCTCGGCATCTAAAAATGGTTAAAATGGCCCATGAAAATTCTTACCCTATTAGCATTAAGTTTGTTTTATCGAATAAGAATCAGGTATTCTCGCGATCAATGGGGCGTAACGCTAAAGTCTTGGTACCTCCAGCAAAAAGACAAAATATATTATGGGGCCCTTAGTCATAATTTAAAATCTCTCGAAGCCCCTCTATCACTAAAAATGTGACTTGGGCATTCCTTGTAAAAGTCTTCCATCACCTCTGGAACCATATCAATGACCATTGAGAGAAAATTCTATATTTCCGGTGGCAAAAAATGTCACGTTTTAAAATCTTCATAATTTTAAAATTAAATTTCATATTTTAATGAAGAATATATTTCCCCAATTTTTTAAAATAATTTTAGCGAGTGGTTATTGTTTTTTAAATTGAGATAAATACTAAAATTTGACAAAAAATAATTTCAAATTTTTTAAGGTTACCAATTTTTTTGGACTCTATAATCGACGCTCGCATTTTATAAAATTTTTTTTCCTAATTATAAATTTCAAATGATTTGGCTATTAAACAGATCTGATTCTAGTAAAACGCCTATTCAAAGTCAGGAGATAGTTTTGTAAATTTAAAATGTAATCAAAAGATGATCATATACTTATAAAATTATGCCATGAAAATAATTGGGAATGCACTAAATTTAAAATATGATTTACAAGGAAAATGTAAAATATTTTTGTACACTAAATTTAAAAAATCTGCTCAAACTCGATTGGATATGTGGAATAAGAATATTTGCAATAATAGACTAATGAAAAATGCCATATCTTTTTAAACTTGTGATCGGCTCAACTTGAAATAAAAAAAAATTTGGATGCCGATTTGATTTTATGATTTTCCGGTTTACGATTAAATTAATAAAATTTAAATTCATTATTATGTTACTTTAAAGACCAACATTAAGCCATATAAAGAAATTTAAATGAAGTTTCCTGCTAAATTGTTTTAAAAGATATCTAAAATTAAAGGGACTGAATTTAACCTAAAATACCCAATTTTTTATAAATTTAGAGGCCCATATCTAAACCTTTGCTTAGAGTTGGGGTCTATAATTTTATTTTTTTCTTAGTTATAATATATACAAACTCTTATAAAAATTGGAAGGGGTCTGGTTAAAAATTGTGTTGTTGATTTGACATGGAATACCATATATATACAGGGTTGCCAGGTCAAAGTTTTCAAATTGCGGAAGAAATTCGTTATTTTGCAGGAGAAATATGAAAATTCCGGGAAAATATGTAAATTGTGGTAGAAATATAAACATTGCTAAAAAAATTTTTTATTCGGTCGGGATTTTGAATTGACTTAGTTATTCGCCTATTCTTTTTATAATAATTTTTATGATACAAAGTCAGTAACTATTTTTCAAAATAAAATAGTTGATTATAGTACGAGATAAAATTTTTTAAATATTTTTATTATTAAAATAACATCTTGATATATTAAAATATATTAATTTTATTAAAAAAACAAACGATTTTAATTTTACAATGTAAAAAATATATTTTATGCGAAAGTCCCGCAATTGGAAATCTATCGTCTGTTTGTTATATAACATTATAGGGATAGGCGCTTAATTATTACGTATTACGTTTAAATACATAATATAATATTGTACTTATTTCAATGATAATTATTTTATTTATATAGTTCAATTACATTATTATTATAATCAGTGCAGGGGGAGTGTATCTACATCTATTGCAAAACAAAAATATTCTCTAAAAATAAGAAATAATACATGCAACTAAAGTTGCGGCAATGGTTATCATGTAGTACAACATTCACAGAGCTACTTATCATCACAATATAGGTAGAATCTTTTCGCCATAATATCTAAGGCCTGCGAGATAAATGAAAACTAGCAAGGCTATCATCAATGTTTAGAACCTGAATCTAGGAGGTCAATTCTTGACAATTCGAAAGATCGGCATACATATGCAATTCTAACAGGTGCATCTTATCTTAAGGGAAATATTAAAACATTTCCCTTGATCCTCCGCTATTCCAACAAAATTAAGTTCGTTTCAATTAAATTATTTTCCCTCAAATTGTGAATAATCCAAAGACATAACTAACCATATAATGGTAAATGTAGCAGATTAGGGATTAACAATGAATTTCATGTCAGCTTTCTGATATGATAATACCTCTGTGAATTTCGCAAAACCAGTGTATTTACAGAATTGAGACAGCCCAATGTTGGTTGCGACATGTTCCTAATACCCGCCATCGATAGAATGTTAAAATTTTACAAACCTTTAAAAAAATATTTCTTAAATAAATTATAAAAACTGTCCGAACATTTTGAAAAATTTTTCAAGAATGAATGGCAGAGGTATATTTAGAAATGATTTCCCATGCATGTAGGAAATCTACTACATGCTGTTAATATGAAGTTGAAATCAGAAGAATCTTTTTTAACAAAGATTCACAAAATTATGCTGCAGATGTGTTTATAATTTAAAAATTGACAATAAATTTTATGGCGCCATTACTAAAATTTTATTAATGTTCAAATATTTTCAAAATACCGATAGACATTGATGTCTTGTTTGAGGAGATTGCAATGATCTCTATTTTTGATTTGCCACAATATTCAAAATATTAATTTTACAATGAAAAAAATATATTTATTTGTTTAACAATTAGCTCGGCCTCTAATGATGTTAAAGCAATCTCTCTCCTTTCTCCAGGTAGTCCTCATCGGACTAAAAATGCGCTCCGATGAGGTATTAGAATGAGGTAAGGAGAAAACATCGCATATTTTTTCAAACATGGGGATTTATCATTATTACGAAAAAATTTCACCCATTTCTCCTCTGCGATAGGGACATGCAACAGCTCACACCATTCAAAGTCAGACCACTCCACCAACTCTCTTAATTCATTCTTTTAGTTGATAAAATAAATTCGTTAAAACATTTCATCACAATTATTTCAACATCCACAGATAATACATTCATTGCCTTCTTGCAAGAATTATGTAGTATATGGCATAATTTGTAAGTCATTATTTTGCTGCCTCAATTCGGTAAATATACTTTGGTTTTTGCCAAAATTCGCAGAGGCATTATCAGCGCAAAAAGCTGACATGCAACTTATTGATAACCCTGAATCATCTATTTTTAAACGATTTCTTCTGTAGTTGCATCTGTATTATTAATAATGTAATTAAACTATA